TATATATATATATATTCGTTTCCTTTTTCTTTTTTTTTTTTCTACTCATTAACTCCAAATTTAGGTGTAGGTTGAATTATTTCCTATACGGAGTAACCCTTTTCCCTATAAAACTAAAGAGATAATGTTTTGATTTTGACTTGGTATAAATTCTAAAATGACAAAACTCACATGTAGTATTTTAAGTGTTTTAATTAAATTTATATTTTATGGTGAAAATTATTAAGGTAACTATTTTTAAAATTAAATAACAATAAATAAAAAAAATATGCATTGTGCCCTTCTCGTACGGTTACCCTGCAATCGGGGTAGTGTGACTTGTTCATTTCCTCTCTACATGACACAGACCAAACACACGTAATTCAAGTCATCTCCATGACTTTTCAAAGGACCCTTTTGCACTTCTTCTATATATATAACAACCCCAATGCACACTTTCTACATATTAACTTACTCACACGTTTCTCTCTCTATAAAACCCACTAGAGACTAGAGAGAGAGAGAGAGAAAGTAACAACCAATGATGGAATCAGAGTCAGAGAACAGTAATCATCTTGTTCAGGAACCAACCTACACGCCGACGAAGCGCTCACGGCCGAGCACGCCGCCACCGCCACCGCCGCCGGAGACTGCGATTTCGGTTCCTTTCAAGTGGGAGGAAGCACCGGGGAAGCCTAGGCATTGCCACAGGGAATCGGAGCCCGAGAAGAGTGCTGTTAAAACCTTGGAGCTGCCTCCGAGGTTGTTGTTTCTCTTGGAGACCAAAAACGTTGACGGGCCTTCCCCCACGACCGTCTTGGATGGGCCTTACGTGGGCCGGGCCTTATCTTTCACCACTTCCTATAGGACTCCCAGGGCCCACTGGAATTCCAACTTCGGCTCCTCCAGGTGGAGCGGTTACAAGAAGATTAGCACTCACGACGCTGATGAGGGCAATTTCGACTTTTCACACCACTTCACTACTGTGCCTCAACCTAAGCCTAACGTCAAGATCACAAGGCTTCACAGAACTCGAACCTTCTGGACTCTATCTAAGCCAAGCTCACACATGTGGGTAAGTCCTGCTAAAAATTTGACAAGTCCTTCTATGCTTGCTGTTAATTTTTCGAAATTTCTTAACAATATTTTTCTTTATTTTTCAACATATGTTGTTCCATTCTCAATCATCGTCAGACTAAATAAAACAAATAATTCTCATTTCTCTAGGTCTAAACCATCCATCATTGTACAACATTTCACTTTTTTTTTTGTTGCTTTAAGCTATCATGATATGATATACTCATATTATCTAAATCATACATAATAATAATAATAATAATAAAGCAGAGCCAGCTAAGGTGTTAGGTATGCATTATAAAGCGCATATTGTTTCATGGACAAAAGTCATATTTGACTGTGACTATATATTGCTATTTCAACTCATTAGAATGGGTATAGTTGTAAATATTGTAATTATTTGTATGTTTTAATTATATTATTATTTCTGTAATATTTGTTTTATTATTTTATTTGTCAAAAAAGTAACTATTTCGTTTTTAAATAATATTTTCCGTCTTCCATCTTCTCAAGCTAATTAAGTGTACCCTACACTTACGCAAGGAGTGGAAAGATTTGCTTACTTTCTTAGAGTCAAGAAATTAACAGTCAAACGGTAGAAACATTTAGCTGGACTTTCACTACCTGTCTATAAAAAAAGCACCGAATGATGTTGCTAGTGCCACTAAAAAACATTTCTTTTTTAAAACTAAAAAGAAGTCAAATAAGTGTAACTATATTATTATAGTAGAGTAGTACACAAATAATTAAGGTCTTTCTTCATTGCCATATTCTTGCGAGTTGCGAGTGAGAAATTATTGTTGCCTTTTGGAAACAACAAAACAAAAAAATATTTAAAAACATCCCCACCATGATAGTTTTGTAGATCTCGCAAATCATATATACAAGTGAATAATGAAAGGTCGTTTTGAAGGAGAAGGAGAAAACTTTCTTAAGGACACTATTTTTTTTTTCTTGGTTGAATTGCTATGTACCCGGAATTACTCGGACTTCACAAAACTTAAATCAATCAGCATAAGTGCTTTGAGGATTTCTTATAGCAATAAAATTGTTGAGTATTTCTTGGTCCATTAGATTTTATTTTATTTTTTGCCTGCACCGTTTGGCTATTTAATCCTTCCCTGTGCTTATGACTAAGTTAGGTTGATATCTCATCATGTAATTATATATTTTTATAACTGCAGGCAAGCATTTATGAAAGCTTTAAGCAAGTGGTCCCATGGAGACGCAAGCAGCAAACACAGAAAAAATGTGCTTCCAAATTTGACATTGTTTGATCTTTTAGACTTTTATTCTTGTCAAATGGAGTTATTTAAGAAATTATATCCTTCTGACAAAGAAAATGATATCCCCGACCCGAGCAAAAAAAAATGTCAATTAGTATATAAATAAAAAAAAAAATTATTTTACAGGTAGTAGTCTTCTCTCATAGCATAAGGAATCATACTGCTTGTGTATATATATATATAATATAATCATATATGAAATGTCAATTAGTATATAATTATATGAATCAGATTTATCATACTCGTACAAGCGAAAGAATCCTCAATATACTTTGTCATTACTGTAAACACGCTTAATTAATTAAATTTTACATGTAACGTATTCAGGTTTTGAATTTGAAATTGTGACTACGAAAAAACTTGACTTAATCATTATTTTCCACCATGAGAATAATTTATAATAATGTTAGAGTTTAATGGATATATATCTACAATGTAAAATTATTTTGTACTTTTACTCAATTATAAGTCATAAAATATATAATTTCTATGTGATTTTTATAAAAGTCAATAAATTTATTATATACTATTAGAAAATCATTTTATACTTACAAAGAAAAGATAATAACATTTTTATAGTCTTTATACAATATATATATA